TGCAGCATGACAACGATGAAGACAAAGCAGAGGAGAAGATTGTGTACCTCTGATGGCTCGTTTTCTAATTTCAGTCGCACTTTGGAAATACAGTTGTGTTTGCTTTTCTAAATGTCTGTAGTTGCTCTCTGTATGACCAAATGGCTTTAAGGATAGTATTTAATATTCAGTGCAAGATTTTCCCCATGACAAATGTAACAATTAAGTTATTTTGAAGCCTTTGTTTTATAATCTTTAATTTATGACATGATTTCAAATGCTTTGCAAGAAGCAAGGGGATAACAAAGAAGATGTAACATTTTGAAATTGTAAAGATGCCACCAGGGGCTGTGAAGGCTGGTGCTGAATTTCTCCTGAGTCCTCTTTTTAAAAGGGCAAGCTGAGAGAGATGGACCTGCTATTTGAGTTTGCAGAGTATAGATGAGTAACCTAACAGCTGTTACATAACGTGAGAAGACAGCAATGTAGGAATGATGGCTATAGTCTTTGCTGAAATGTGCTATGTACCCTTAACTATGGGGTTGTTTTTCTTATCCCCTGGCTCAGGAACTGTTCAGAAGAGGATGTTTTTTATGGTCTCAGCATAATTGCATAATTGTGTTTGTTCACTTCCCAGTGCTTATCATCATTTTGCTACTACTGCCAGTTTCAGTGAAAAAATGCCGTAAATCAGCTTGTTATTGTATTATAAGTGTATCTCATTTCAGTAAGTGCCCTTATGCATTGAAATTGAGCAGATGAAAACACCTCACTGGTAAAAATAAAGGGGGAAAATAGTAGGCTTTTAGGTAACTGAACCTTTTTGAAACTCCTCTGCTTGCTTATGTAGGAGCCAGCTAGTTTCCTGCTTTCAGGTTCATGGGATTTAAGATCCTTTCCAAGCCTATTCTATGATTCTATGATTTTCTGTGCGATAGGTGGTAAGAAACCAGGACCAGTTCTGTGCCTTTTGGTCTTTCAGAAATACTTCTACACTTCTGTCGAATTGAATAAATGTTCTGTGCATTTCTGCAAAACTGTACCTTTGGTTCATTGTCAGGTCCTCCAAAGAAGGGACACAAAACACAAAAAAAACCCTCCTTGCCTGGTTTGCCCTCTGCCCTGCTGCACAAGAGCCTGCCTTGGTCCAGTACAGCGAAAGCTGCACCTTGGCTGGCAAAACCATGGATGTGGCTATTTGAGGAATCGCAGGCAGCTCTCTGTATTGTCCAGGTGCTGCTTAGCCTAGCTAGCAGCTTGGCAGCAGCACTGCAGGGATGCAGATGCACAGCTCCAGAGCTGCCTCACATCTGCAGCTCACTGGGCAGAGGAGTGCAGGATTGCCCTGCCTGTTTGTCTGGATAAGCCCCAAGCATCACGTACTTTCCCTTTTACCCTAAGCCTCGCGTTGTGCAAATTTTTGCAGGGAGCAGAGATAGTAGATGTTTGTCAGCAAGGGTTTCCTTATGTGGAGGGTTCTCTTCCAGGGACTGATATGCTGTTGGGGAATATTCAAAAGCAGAGCTTTCTAAATTGCATCTTTCTGGGTTACTAGACTAGCTGTTCAGTTGGTATCTTAGGCTACTGACCTTCTTGATGAGCATGATCCAATTCCCAGCTGGTATTAAATGGTGTGCAAATATCCGGGAAAGATTTGGTCTGCCAATACATTTTTCAGTTGCTATTTCCATCTTTCAAGATTCATGTTCACCTGACAGCACTTCTTTAATATGTCTCCCTATTGGAGAAAAAACCTTTTTAGAATTTCTGGAAATGTTTTACCTGCTTTGTTTTCACAGACTAAAATTAAAATGGGAATCCAGCTTTAGTAAGGGTTCTATAATAAGGACAGGCCACTGCCTCTCTATTTTACCAGTCAGCAGTGAATTCAGAGTTGCTATCTGGACAGCTTTTTGGCAAATTTTTGAATAGCCGGACCAGTTCCTTGGGATGCAGAATGTCCTGGGATATGTGCATTGCCTAGGGACCAGTAGGAAATTGGGAAAAACTGAGTAGTTTTCTCCACAATTACACTTTCTGCATTTTATTATGCCTTCGCTGAAACATCTGGTACTGGTTACTGTCAAATCCAAGCCGCTGGATGGATAGCTGCTGTCCCAGCCTGGTGTGGGAATTGCCATGTAAGCATCCTGCCTCTGGGAGAGGAAGAGAGGATACTGCTTCTCTCGTCAGTTTTAATTGAGGGGCTGGGAGTTGAAAAGTGGGGGGCCAGGACTTCAGCTGTTGTGCACATTCTTTGAGTACCCTACCATCAGGCAGCATCTTATTTTGCTCACCTGTGTTTACAGTAAAAGTTCTGGCACTCAAGGAAGGCAAAGGCAGGAAACAGGTGGCCCCTAGATTTAGGTATTTTAATTGTAGAAAATGTTTAAACTATAGGCCAGTATGGTTTCGGCAGGTGCACTTTATAATAACATGTATTATGCACCCAGGAACTCTGTCCATTGTTAAGGAATCTCTTAGCACTTAGAATTTAAATGCAGTCCCTTTTTAGCAGGCTGCATTTTCAGTTACTGAGATGCCTATAGTTAATGATTGGTCTTCTTTCTAAGTAGAAAAATATATTCAGAAGTTCTCCCCTTCACTTTCATTACATTGTTTTAAAGTGGGCTTGTTTGCAAGGCCTGCTGGTTTTGTTTTTAACTCATCCCATATTCTGTGGGGTTTTTTTGCCATGTTTCTCAAGGCATCTTGCCTCTGAAAGCTCAAAATTTGATTTAGTAATTCATTTCAGTGTTTAAATTAATGGAGCCATTGCTGTACTGCAAATCTCCACTGCACAAGACTGGGGTTTTTCTTTTCTTAACTTTATTCCATCATTTAACAAAGTGGGGATTTCTTTACAGTAATACCTAGACTTCATCCAGCATTTTCTCCTTAATGTTGTTGTATGCTAGTAAAGCTGTCATATCTAACAACTTTGATTTTTAAACAAAACTCACAACAAGCCTTTTTTCAGCAAATCTAAAAAATGGTAAAGAACGAAGGCTCAAGCTTACAGTGGGATGGATCCAGAACCTTGGATTTATGCAGTCATTTACAGAGTGAGGCCAGAACAGAACAAATTGAATATTAAGGTAAACAACACAGCTGCATTTTTAAGCGATTTTTCACAAAGCTTGTCCATGTAATTTGCAAATGACTGGATTAAATACAGATTAGGCACTCAGCAAAACTCCCCGAAGGTTGTTAACTGAGGTGATTAAAAAAAATATCTGTTAATGTTTGCCGTGTAAGGAATATGAATCATTTTACTTAGTGCCCTCTGGGCTGCCTTAATTTATGTGCCACCCATTTAGGTTAAAAAAACTGCTAAGATTTTCACTGATTCTTAATCAAGCAAGTGCAAATTCTGTAGTTATGTGCCATAACACCGGTAAAATCATGTTCATAGTACTGTTCATTCAGAACAAAGCAAAGAGGCTGTGCTCTGTTAAGTAATAGGTACAACTTGCTCTGACTGAATTTTGAAAGCAAAGGAGAGTTGCAAATTAGGCAGTTTTCTTTATGCATTCAATGATAAAAGGGGAAATAGCATGACTGCTCAGATACCTTCTGATTAATACTCTGTTTGAACAGAACTCCAGCCCTGAACCCTTCCAATCCCTCCACTGGGATGTGCCCAGTTTGTATTACAGAGGTAGAAACAGCATAGGTTATGGGGCATTAGCATACTGTAACTGGTTGGATGTTTGCTTTTTCTTACGGAATTGCAATCACTTCATGACTTTTTTTGTCAAGGTAAATGGATGTATTTGTTGTTTTCTCATCCCTAGCAAAGATCTTTAGGTAGAAGCACTGCAGAAGTAGCTGTGAATACTCTTGGTAATCTTAGTCATAAGGACAGCTGCATGTTCACCTCCAAAAAGGTTTTTCTGTCTCACTTGCTGTCAGGTTCTGAGATAAGACTGTGAGGATGGCCTGAATTCAGTGGCTTGAATTTTTTGTAAAGGATCCCTTTGGCAGGCTGATGTGAACAAGGGTGTTTAATTTTTCAATATAAAGAAGAAACCTTAAAGGGTAACCTTGGTGGCATTAATCTGAAGTGTTATAGAATCATAGAATGGTTAGAGTTGGAAAAGACCTTAAGATCATCTAGTTTCAAACCCCCTGCCATGGGTAGGGACACCTCGCACTAAACCATGTCACCCAAGGCTCTGTCCAACCTGGCCTAGAACACTGCCAGGATTGGAGCATTCACAACTTCTTGGGCAACCCATTCCAGTGCCTCACCACCCTCACTGTAAAGAACTTCTTCCTTATATCTAATCTAAACCTCCCCTGTTTAAGTTTAAAGCCATTACCCCTTGTCCTACCAGTACAGTCCCTAATGAAGAGTCCCTCCCCATCATCTTTATAGGCCCCCTTCAGATACTGGAAGGCTGCTGTGAGGTCTCCACGCAGCCTTCTCTTCTCCAGGCTGAACAGCCCCA